AAACAAATTTCTGCCAACAAGAGTCATTTAAGACTAAACCCACCCCCCCCCCCCCCCCCAGAATCCACTGATTAATGAATATATTTTTGCAAAAGTTGGATTTTTTTGTTGTTGTGGATTTCAGATTCATTTCTGCATTCCTACATGTGTAATGAGCAGTGAATTTACACGTGGAATGAATTTCTGCAAGCTCAGTTTTTCTTGAATTTGATGTTTTTAAAGCAATTTTGACCGTTCTAAGATTTTTTTAATCTGACCGCTTGCTGAAGTGTTCACCAAACATAAATTCACTGCTCATTATGCATGCGGGAATGCAGCTTTAAATTTGATATTTGTTATGGCAACAACTAACAGATTTGTTTTTCAAATAATTGATTCATTAATGGAATCTTGGGGGGTACGCTTGACCTGGTGTGACTGTAAACTTCTTTATTTGTTGTAGACAAAGAGCACATTTTTCTAAGATATAATTGTCTTTCATGAAGAAAAAAAACTGTCACTGGCAATCATTTTGAATGTCAAGTACATACGTTAAGTATGGTCCTTTGTAGTGCCCCTTTAGTTCATGTTGTAAGTGATTAAATGTGTGTAATGTGTGATGCCAGGTAGGCTGTATCACAATAAAATACAATATTTCTAATTCTGGAGAGTCGAGCTCTTACATGAAATTAAACAGTAAACCTTTTTCTATTGAAAAAAAGAAAAAGAAATGGAGTGGGCCACCTGGAAGTAAAAGATAATGTTATTCTCCGAATTATGCTGTGTGTAATAAAAGATAGTTCTTAATTTTACTTTGTGTATGACAGGGTTCAAAATGAACTTTTTCCATGGGCTAAGAAAGATTTGATCGGAAAAAAATGCTCCATGGAGAAAATTAAGGTCACCAAAAGTTATTTCCTTTTCTTTTTCAGTAAAACAACTAGAAATATAAGCCCCTACATTGAATTAATTAGATTTACATGACCTCATTTAAATAATCTCATAAGTTAGTTGTGTGTTGATTTCCTGTTTTTTGTATATATTTTTATGTATGGTCATATTTAAGCTGTACAAGGTTAAGGTGGTTGCTAATTTGACACTAATGCAGCATTTTTGGCATCTAGTACCCATTTTTACTTTTCATCTTCTCAAAATGCTTACAGATAAGCAAACATGTTTATGGCCTCTGTCTAGTCCATATGGGGTGTGAAAGTTGCTTGGATTTAGCTCTCTGTTTTTGAAATTATTTTAATTTTATTATTTGTGCATTGGATTGAAGCCAACTTTAAAGCAGATGCATGTGATTACAATTTCCATCTTTTGCATCCAACAGGTCATGATTCTAATTTAGCCTTTAGTGCTGAAAAATGCTTGTCAATTAATCTCCTTAAGTGAAGCTCAGATGTTAATAGACGCCACTTCTTTAGCTGAGGAGCAACACTTTAGCTTTATATTGCAAGTGAATAAACAGCAGATATAGAATTCCTAAACAACTGGAATGATTTGAATCATGTGTCCCTTTATCGTAAGCTTGGTGTTGAATTTTCTGCTAGAATCCCGTTAATGATGTTAAGTCAGGTTTTAAGAAGCATGGAATTTCCTGTCTCAAAGTAAAAAAAATATAGATTAACAAAATTGCTGTCATGTTCCTGTTTCATTATGGGACAGTTACATTTCCCTTGCATCCAGTTTTTGGCTGTGTTGTTTACATGTGTACATGTAAATGCTTTGTTTTGGAAGTGGATGCACTTAGCTTCCCTTGCAAGGTTTTGGGCACTCCACTATTTCACCAAGCAAAATTTTTTGAAAAATGTAGTTCTTTGAGTAGGTACTGACACTTGGCAAAAAGCATCAGCTCATTTTTTCAGAAAAGTCAGTGACCAATTTCTCTGAATTTGAGGAGCGGCTCTATCAAACCCTGTTGATGTAGTCAATTACTCTACTGAAGTCACTACTGCCTACTGTACCTCAGGTTTTACTGAAACCCCTAAAACATAACATGATTAAAAAAAACCCAACTGACTGGAAGTAAACAAGAGATGGCAAAATCAGCAGCTTAGAACTACCTGGAAACACACATGCCCAGTTACATGAAGTGGTGACAACATGGCACAATGCAACAACCTCTGCGCTAGCCATAGCCTGAGAAAATAGCTCAGATCTGGGTAGTGACATGTCATCAAACAACAACTTTATGTATTTCAAACTCTTTGTTACAGAAATAAAATAATAATACACAACCTGCAAATGAGGCCCTGCATGTAAGAGTAAAATTCTGACAAGCAACATGACCTTGAAACAGCGACATAGGGCAGCAGAAATGGCAACAAACGACAAAAATGGGTTGAAATTTTGAAAGCGACAGAGAAGAGTGCAAATACAATAGTAAAATACCATCAGCGACATGGCATCCTCCTCAACCCTTTAAGCCCCAGTATCCACATACAAATTCTCTAAACTGATCTCCATACATTTCCTTTAAGAATTAGTTGAGAGAATTTAATAAAACATCAAGGCATTTTCTCTTTTGTGATCATTTTTTATACTCTCACAATCTTATCTCTTGACAATGTATGGACATTGTTAGGAGAAAATTGCTGTTGGTCACTATTGAGACTTAATGCGTTAATAGGCGAAATGGCAGGTTTTGAAATTGAGACTAGGGACATATGTAACCTCCATAAGAGGGCATCGCAACTAGCAAAAGCAATTTGAGGTGTGTTGTGAATAATAATTAGGTAGATTCGTAAAATAAAATGTAAAGGAAAAAAGTGTCAGTATGGAATTCCTGCAGTTGTTCTTCAGACATCAAAAAATGTTGGCTGTTTTCTCAGCCTAAACAACCCCCAACCTCAAGTCTAGTCTGATGTAGTGACCATTTTGCCATACAGCCTGCTACATTTCTGCACCTTTGTAAATAATGAGGTTAAAGGGGCTATGTCACGGCAGTCCATTTCATTTTGTTTAGTTTTGCCAATTACTCGCCCTCAATCGCTATGAAACTTAAAGTAAGCAACGAAATTACAGGTAAATGATAAAATCAGAGATCCGAGACAAACAAATATGTCTCCTGAGCATTATTTTTTACGTTGCAAGCAGCAGGGATCAAATTTGAAAAACTGTTGGGCTGAACAGTTTTCAAAAACCCTAATTTCAATCCATTTCAATCTTCCTCAGTTTCACCCATCCTTGGCATCTGTTGTTTTTAACCTTCCTTTAAAGTTTTAAGCGGTTATTTTTGTTTCTCTCAATTTAACGGGCATTTTGTAATTTACTGATTTGAATGAATTTCGTGACACAGCTCTTTTAACCATTCCTGTTTGTTATCGTAGTGGGTGGCAGACTCGAGGAGGAGTTAAAGTACACAAAGAAATCTCTTGGAGAGGGATATGGCGGAACAAATGAGCTCCTTATACAGACCCCAAATGAGGAGGGGACCAATATTCTTTCTGTGAAAGCAATGAGGCAACACTTGGATGCTGTGACAAGAGCCACAAATGTTACTGTGGAATTATTTGACCAGTAAGTACATCACAGTGTTTTAACCCTGTAAATCGTTCTATGAAAATTTAAATTCTCATTTGTTATCCCTATACATTTCCTACAGAAGTAATGCTAACATTTGGATTTTGAATTAATTCATGCTTTCAACGTATTGTGTCACTCATCTTGAAGTGAAATTAAAATAGTTTCTGTCTAGAATAGTTCCCAGTTGGCACTTTCTGACAGACTCACAGGACTGCTGAAGCTAATTTCACTTACTCACTGGGCCACCAAACTTCTATTTTTAATTGCCCAAAATCAAAATTTANAAGCAATGAGGCAACACTTGGATGCTGTGACAAGAGCCACAAATGTTACTGTGGAATTATTTGACCAGTAAGTACATCACAGTGTTTTAACCCTGTAAATCGTTCTATGAAAATTTAAATTCTCATTTGTTGTCCCTATACATTTCCTATAGAAGTAATGCTAACATTTGGATTTTGAATTAATTCATGCTTTCAAGTTATTGTGTCACTCATCTTGTAGTGGAATCGAAATAGTTTCTGTCTGTAATAGTTTCCAGTTTGCACTTTAATTTCTGACTGACTCACAGGACTGCTGAAGCTAATTTCACTTACTCACTGGGCCACCAAACTTCTATTTTTACTGGCCCTGGGCAATTGAACCTGGGTTTTTCTCTGCCCTACCTTTTATTGATTATACTGATGAAATTAATTTACAGAACTTGGACATTGAAGGATATATGCTACACTTTGAGCCTTCCTCCAATGAACAACCATTGGGATTATGTAAGTTATCATGCATCATTTTTATTAAAATACGATATGGCACCAATATCCACATACAAATTCTCCAAACTGATCTCTATACATTTTCTTAAAGAATAAGTTGAGAGAATTTGATGAAAGATCAAAGCATTTTCTCTTAGGTGATCAATTTAGTAATTCTCATAACCAAATCTCTTGACAATCAATGGATATGGTTAGGAGAAAATTGATGTTGGACACCATTGGGACTAAAAGGGTTAAAATACGATATGGCACCAAGGTGTGTATCTGAGTTATTCAGGATCAAAAGTACACACCAACACCCAAAAACACTGTGATTTTGAACTACCCCGATTTGATACAGTGGTCTATGGGAGGCATTTGCTGCGCTACCAAGGACCTTTTATTTGATTAAAGGTCAATGGTGAGCTAAGAAACTTAACAAGCTTCAATGCATTCAATAAGCATATACGTGGTGTGGACCTTTCAAGCCATATAGATAATGATAGTAACTGCTGTGACCTGTGTAAATTCTGAGTCATGTACGTTTGTATATAGTTTTAGGTTTTAGGTAAGATCATTAATTTA